CCTGTGAAGACATCAACGAGTGCTTAGATCCAAAACTTCACCACTGCAGCCAAGTGTGCCTGAATAGTTTTGGAAGTTACCGTTGTTCTTGCAAGACAGGCTATCTGTTATTAGATGATTCAAAAACCTGTGAAGATATCAACGAGTGTTCAAGTCCCAAACTAAACAAATGTGGTCAACTGTGCGTTAATACTAACGGCAGTTACAATTGCACGTGTCGTTCAGGGTATCAGTTGTCTCGTGATGGTAAAACCTGTAAAGACATTGATGAGTGCTCTTCACGACGACTGCACAAATGCAAGTACACTTGCTTCAATTATATCGGTGGACATGTATGCGGAGGTAAGGAATTATGCTTACTGAAAGGTAAACCTGGRTTACGAAGTTTTGATTACTCGATGCCTGGCTTCTGACAATCAGATTAAAAATGATTTTATTGATTTTTCTCACCCATTCCAATGATATTCAAAAGATAAAAGACCGGCGGCCATGTTGGAGGAATGAACAATAGGTACTAATGAGAAATCCTTTGTTGAAGCTTCTCCAAGATGGCCGCTGTGACGTAGCTTGAAAGCGAAGAATTGTCTCAATCCCTCAGCTAGATAGCAAGTGTTTTTCTAATATGTATATGTTAAATACACTTYGTTTATACAGAGAAAGTCGTCTACTCTAGACCACCTGTTATCATCTACGGTAAGAACATCAGTTCAGCAAGCATCTTCATTCAGTGGACGAAGGTCCTAGGCGCCCTCCAATATGAAGTGGCGTATATACCGTTCATGATGGATGAGAAACTGAGGATTGTCACATCGAAGGAGATTGGTTTAGTTGTCACTGGTCTTAGAGCACTGAAGATGTACAAGCTGTTTGTAAGGAGCACGTCATTAGATGGTATTACAAGTCCATGGAGCAAATGTTTTACCATGTCAACAGATGAGCATGGTAAGTTGCATGGAATAGAGCGGATTTCGTATGAGTGGGACACCGTTGCCGCACGGTTACCGCACAGTTACCGAACCTGGCCTTCACAATTTTGGTGAACCAATGGGGCACTAGAATTTGGTTACAGTGCGATTACGATCACAGTACAGTGCCGTCCGTTTCCCACTCATACGAAATCCGCTCTAATGTCAGTGGTGTCGAAACGCTATCCCAACGGCGCATTTGATAATTAAATCTAGACATAAAGGAAAGTYATTTTCAAAGTTTTGGAATCTTATATTTTATTCTCGCGCRCGCGTCCGCTCTWACTTTGAARAAATGMCGTCATCTTACCTGTAGTACATGATCTTGTGTAGATCTCTGCGCTTCTCCAATGAATGTGACAGTTGCCGAGGTTGGWCGYCAGCATGTTCTACTAGTGTCTTGGACGGGAGTAGAATTCATGGACGATATTCATGGCCACGGACTCGGGTACCGAGTTGTATACGTGAAAACCCACGYGACCAAACCTAAACCAGTTACCATAACAACGACCAATACGTCAGTCTTCATAAAAGCAGTGGAGCCTGGTGCTAATTATAGCGTTAAAGTCTGCGTGTTTACAAGAAAAGGCGATGGTCCTTATTCACAGCCTGTTTTTATTAGAGTTTTGCCAGGTATTTTTTAACGAGTTAAATTTAAAATTTCTTTAGGAGTTATCATTTAGTGGTTCGAGTCCCACTTTTCAAGATGGCGGACTCCTCATGCATGTATTTTCATTCGCCGTAAAGCGGCGTTCCACTGTATGTACCATTATGTCCTACAAGTGTTCAATGTTCCGCCGGATGCTACTAACTATTAATATATATTTTCGTATAGAACATCCGTGTGATTACATCAAGTGTCTGAACAATGGAATATGTGAAGGCCATTCTTGCCGTTGTTTGAATCGCTACTATGGGCAATATTGTCAGCATTATATTATAGGTGTGTTTACYGCTATCAATATAAACTGCATTTATACTTAACTGCATATCTTTTACGCCGCATACAAATAATTGAAAAAACTTTCTCGGGTTCACAAATGTTATATTATCGAAGCTAAGACTGAAAGTCCTGAAAGGTAGTATGGGAAGGCAAATGATGAATACAGTATTTTGTGCGTACTTGTGTTTCAGCTCCCATTGTCTGGACTAAATAACCATCTCTATGATAAATGAGTTKATATATTTAGGCAAATGTGAGATTTGGGTTGAAGTTCTGATTACCCAAAATCCCATGCGRTTTTAGCTTCAWCGATTTCGCCTTTTTGAACTTGACAACGTCTGTTCAATTKGGTGTTTTGCGCATTTTTACACAAAAAMAAACTTCGGTTTCTATTTAWCAATATCCGGAAACGGTCATCGTTTTCCGTATTATGGTGCAAGTAATTTCTAAATCAATATGATTTGTCATTGTACAGATTCCCATCACAACAAAACCTGCACAAGTCCTGTCGTAAAGCTGGTCAACATCAGTCACTCTTTGTCGACGGCTACAGTATTTCTCAAATCACAAACAATAGTCGTTACTGCTCTTGTTAGCAACAACTGTAGTTTTCCAACTGAAACAACATTGTGGACCGTGCATTTACTTGGTAAGTGTAAGGGATATAGAGTCCGCGGTCCAAGGGCTTGAATAGGGTGTTGTTGATTAAAGTCATTCATTATTCAACAGGAAGTGACAAGGTTATACATGTATCCAACTCAAGTCAGTCTTTAATAATCCCCAGTCGCTATCTTCACTACGGTCGTTATAAAGTCAAAGCAACTGTTGCGATACAGGGCTATCCTATATCCGGTACTGGGATAGGGTACATCCACATAAAGCTTAGTCCTTTAGTAGCTCGCATAAAAGGAGGATCATACTTAAAGGGGGCTGATAGTATTACCCTTGATGCTTCTGATTCCTTTGATCCCGATTCCGGGTCTTCATCCGGGTTTTCATTCTCCTGGCTATGTACGACAACCGGGGACTGTTTCACCAACGAACCCCTGGAGTCTCCGACAGTCGAATTTCCTTGGTTACTGTCGTCTTCCGTTCGTGTACCGTTTTATAACAAAGGTGGTTGCTATGACACCGGGGTGGGGTTTTTGCCAACGACTGGCCCGGTGCTTGTACTCCGTTTATCATACATGAGACCCGGTATACGACATGTTACCGTAGTTATACAGAAAGGGAGACGAAAATCGCTGTTGAAGAAGGAAATCGTGATCACGCATAAAGCTACTATACGGTTGTCAATCAGGTGAGAGACATTTAGCTGTCACTCYATCTAAAGTAACGTAATTCCCTTGTACGATATCGTAGACCCAGAATCTGTACATTATATGCATGCTGATGACATACGGGAATTTGTGAACCAATCAAATCAAAGACTCATTTGTCTCCAAACAGAGCMTTCRRTTGTCCTTTGGGAARCTATRAAGGATCTGGGTACGAGAATGTACGAGCACAATAAAATAAATCTTAAATCTTTGGGCGCACTCGCTTAAAGTAACATCGACCCGCATTTCATAACGCGTAATCAAAACAWTGTAATTCTGAATGTWAGTATACTATCRTAGGTGCTTRAAGAACTGTCGTTCTCCAGTTGATCCCAAGGCAAAGATTGCYTTAGCTCCATCTTGCTCCAGGTCATGCGAGGAGAATGTGCAATAYMMCTGGTCAGCGTACTACGGTAGTGAAGGAGACACRTGGCAAAACATMWCTGGCATCGARAAACATTTTGAGACGTCTATGACGTCATTGGTAATAGAAGCGTTCACWTTTAAACCTGGTCGGACCGTGAAAATAGAGTTGAGGGTGCATAAACCGACCTTCAAATCAATGAAAGCTTTCTACACTTTCACAATRAACACACCRCCACGTGGTGGGCGTTGCCTTGTYACGCCTAAASAGGGCGTGGCATTAAGGACCAAGTTTAGATTCTATTGCTACAACTGGACGGATAATCACRAGCCCATAAAGTACGCCTTTTCATACGTGACRTTAGACGGARTAAACAATGTAGTACAGAAAGGGTTTCTACCTAGCATGAGGGTATCTCTGTCACCAGGCAACAAGAACGTCACTATTGACGTCATTGACGCCTATGGTGCTTATATATCTGTTTATGTCTTCGTTAAGGTTTGTTTTGACATTATTGTTATATTTATGTCTGGGTTCAATATGATTATGATTACGACAGACGATAATTGTTCTTGTCAAAATCCCATATCATTATTGCAAACGCTTAGAATTTCTGTTGTTTCTTCTCGTCCTGTGTCCTGTGCTCTGTGCCCTGTGTCCTTCTTTTCTATCAATTTCTTAGTCATTTGCATTTCTATRCTAGGTGAATTCCGAGGTTTCTGAAAATGAAAAAGTGAAAGAAGCAAGCAAACTCATCATAGGAAAAACAAGCGATTTAAGTAGCCTTATAAGAAAGAACGAAACTAAACAGGCATATCTACTTTCAAGAAATGTCTTACAACTTTTGAATGATCGTAAAAATAGGACAGATATCGCAGATGCCATTAAGGTATGTTTTCCATATTGCATGGACACTTCAAGCACTTTGTTCAAGATACGATACCCTGATCAACGTGCTTATTCGGTAGATAATCGATGCCGGCAAGCGTGCATATATTTGGACTTTATTTGAATTTTTATTCCATTCAAGCGCTGTATCTTTGCACCGCACTGAACATGGATGCCTTGTACGAAAGGCTTGACATTTATTTGAAGTAGTTATAGCAATATTCGCCTTTATGAATCTCCAAGAATACCATTTTACAGTGAATAACGTTCAAATTGATTTTAGATCAAGTCAGAAATCATCAGACAAGTGACGTCAGTTGGTGCAAAAACTGTTGACGATATTCGGGACCAGTCATCAATTATTACACAAGCAACCGCTGTCCCCAACGAAGTTAGTCAGACTGCTCAGGTTTGTAGATGTACTCTTTTTTCTACTACTAATACGTCTTGTATATGAAGGGTGAATATAAAGCACTTATATCCTCCGGGTAGATTCTTATCTAGGGGGTATCTATGAAATAAATAACTTTATCCACCCTTTGTACGAYCAGCCCCTGTATCACGGACACCTCCATATCTCGAACACTTTCAGTTCGATSAGAGGTTCGTTCCACAGTGACATTTCAATTTGCTGCAGGASGTTGCTGCCCAGGCCTTGGTTAAGATGACAATGRTCTTAAAGCGTGAAAGTASCAAAACAACRARTGTTCGTAGTTTGGAAAGTAGTGCGAGCAGTCTTCTCTCTGGGATTVCAAACTCTCTCATAATCTCAAGTTCCAATGCTAAATACCAAAAAGAAGAAGAAAAGAAACGTACGAACTATATTCGATACAATAAAAATCTTTCGCTAKTTCTAATCAATGCAACAAAGACAATTGGAAAGGCGATTTTGTCTAAAATTGTTGTAGGTGAAAAGCCTACAGTTCTGAAGCAAGGGTCGTTGTTAGCGCTTATAGTTTCTCGACAAACGCCTTCAGTTCTTTCTGGAGCGGTACTTAAACACAAGGGGACACAATTCACCTTTCCAAATAATCCCACCATATTTGGTAACACTACAGCCGTTGACAGTCAGGTAGGTACTCTTAGCTAGGTTTAAACGTCGTACTTTTCAGGAGTCATTTTCATTCATTCGGCGTATTTCATGTACATGTACCAAGTCGCTTTTCAGTGTTTAATGTTTATTCATCTCTTTATACAATTGAGCGGTGTTTAATTCCAGTGATCTGAGTATAATMTTCAATCAAACACCACATTTCTTTAAATTTACCTGATTACTATAAACATYTGCTACACATAATATGTAAGTGGACAAACAATTTTCTATTTGTTTGTTAAACCACCATAGATTCTCGTCTCAAGCTTCAACATGTTTTCGTGGCATAAAACGTCCCAACGACCGACATCGATTGTAGCGAGTCTTGAGACAACAGATTTCGACGGTCKTCCAATCACAATGAAGAATCTCTCTGACGACGTAACTATCCAACTGCCTCAACGAATCAAAACAGTCCCTGACATCCGAGAGTTTTCTGTAGAATTTGGTCGGACGAATTACCACAAAGTTCAGGTGATTTTTTTTATTATTGTCTGTGGGAACCATGGCTTTTCTGTATCGTTTCAGACACTGAATATGGAATCATAGTTAGTAGATTTAGAACCCAGGCCATCCCCTCTTGAAAATCTCTGTAAAAAAAGTGCTAAATGAATTTTTTACAATTCCAGGTCAACTACTCCGATATAACACTRAACATCAATATTCAACCAACCGATAATAAAACAACGCTGTTGATTGCCACTAATTATGGTGCGAGACCAGCAAATGACACCGACTACAAGATGGTGTTACCAGTTCGTGGATCACGTGACCTATACAGTGTTCGAATCGCTTCCCAGTCTGGTTTTTATTTTGTTGGGGTCAGAAGTGGGATGAGTAGCCTGAACTACAAGTCAAGGATAAAATATACTATGCATGTTTCTGCATCAGCTTGTCTATACTGGTCTGAGAATAAAATGAAATGGGTCTCTGATGGCTGTAAGGTAAGGATATAATGGCATAAATTTTCACTCTTAAT